TCCAGGCGGATACCTTTTCTTTTACCTTTCTATTCTTTTTTTTCTACCCGCCCATTTCCAGCCTTTGGGAAGTACCGATCAGGGATGTTCGGACCACAGACATACAAAAAGGGGGCATTGGTAACTAACTCTGTGGTCTTTACTTTTAGGTGGTGTCGGGAGCCATCCCAACGCTGTGGCGATTTTTTAGACTTTTGGGATAGATAAGGAGGAGGAGGAGGAGGAGGAGGAGGCAGGAAGAGGGGTAGAAGGAACATGGAATGTGTCAAGATAAATATACCGGGTTCTCTTCTTGAAGATGAATTATTCTTGGTAACAAGGTGGCTTGTGAGTTCATGCCATGCCATGCCATGCCATACGAGGGATCTCCAGTGCAGCTAGCCACCTACATACCTACCTACCTAGCTTTCCACCCATCAATCATATCTACTATGCACGTATATGTACAGAGGACCCTAGCTTTCTCTTTCTGTCTCTGCTTTAGGAAGATATGGGGGCGAAGGAGGCGAAGGGCGATCAGACTGCGGGGAATAGTGCGTATCCATGCTACCTTGGTTGGTATTTATTGGAGGATGTTCTCGACGGCGAACCGAGTATGCGAGTCACTTGGGACCCTACGGCCTGGGTCGCGTGCTAAAGGTACCTCGTCGTTGGGGGCTGTATGGTGTATGGTAATTAATCATAAGTGCGGTGGAGATAAGACTCTAGTAGACTGCGCCTGGGCAGCAACGCAGTGCCGCGTCTTGCATCTTTGAATGTCACACCAACGTCGCCTCGGCTCTCATTCCCACATCACCACTTCTCCACATATCTTATTCGACATGTTGACTGGATGAGCACGGTTGGATCAAATATAGAGGGTGCAGGCTACAAACACGAGTGAGAATCCTGCCTGAACTCCTTGCGACAACCGGTATTGACACCCGCCAACCCAGAAGTTTTCAGCCGCACCAAACCATGGATTCAACCATCGCTGCTTCGACAGGACTGCCGGCCAGCATCATTGTCCTTATCCTAACAGTCATTATTCTAGTAGCGGTCACGGTCCACCGTGGGCTTACCATTGATCACAGTCCTGGGGAGCCTCCAATCATCAAGCCGGCGATCCCCTATATCGGCCACATACTGGGAATCATCAGGCATGGCACACATTATTTTGAGATTGTCAAGTGAGTGATGGATGCCTCTAATGCTCGCAATCTAATGTGCCTCAGCCGCGACACTCGGTACCCGATCTACACGTTGCCCACCTTATCTACTAGACAGTACATTGTCACTTCTCCTCAGATTGCTGCCCAGCTCCAGCGACAGCACAAGGACCTCGCCTTTTACAATGTCATTCTAGAAGTCACGCGCAGATTGACCAGCCTCAAGCCAAGTACCATGAAGATTGTCATGAAGAACGTCAATGCCGAGCAAGGTGATTGGGGCCTGATGCCGACTATGCATGACATGTTCAACACGGTACTCGGACGAGGGGAGTCATTGAAAGACCTCACTCGTTCGCAAATGTCGATCTTTTCCGAGATGCTTAACGAGGTCGCCGTGGGGGGAGATTGTCTGGAAACGGATTTATTTGGATGGATCAAGTCGACCTTTGCTTTTGCCAATGCAAAGTCGATCTATGGTCCAGAAAACCCCTTTGCCCTTGATCCCAGCTTGGTCAATTCTTTCTGGGACTTTGAGGCTGGTATGCTGGCCCTTATTATTGACATTTTTCCTTCCATCACAGCCAGGAGGGCATATCTGGGACGAGAGGCGATTGCCAAAGCCCTGGTTGACTATGTCAAAGAGAAGCGGTGGCGCAAGGCTTCTCTTCTCATTCAAAACCGCATCAGCATCAACCTGAGCCACGGATTTACCGAGGCCGAAGCAGGTCGATCAGAGATCATCTTGCTCTTTGCAATCCTCGGAAACGCTGTGCCATCCACGTTCTGGATTCTTACAAATATCATCAGCCGTCCAGATCTACTGGCGCAGATACGGAACGAGCTTCAATCGGCTGTCACTGACGAGGGGAGTGGAGGCAAAATCATCAATCTCTCTGTCATCGAATCCTCCTGCCCACTTTTTGTGTCGACGTACAGGGAGTCCCTACGCATGATCGGCAACCTGGCCTCACTTCGATACGTATTGAGGGACACGGTCATTGGGCAACATTACTTGAGAAAGGATTCTATTATTCAAGTGGCTGGAATCATCATCCACCATGACCCGCAAACCTGGGGCCAGGACAGCGACCAGTTCAACCCTCGACGTTTTATCAAGGGCCAGGCATCTGTGGCGGATAACGATTCAGAGCCATCGGGCTTGGACCTCAAGGAGCCGACGGCAACACAACTGCCTCCTGGCGTCCCCTCGGCGGCATTCCGTCTTTTTGGCGGTGGCAGTGTGGTGTGCCCGGGACGACACTTTGCGCAAAGTGAAATCCTTGCTTTCGTTGCATACCTATTGATGGCATTCGATATCTCTACTCCAGATGGAACACCCATCACACTACCTCCGCGAGACAATGAAAAGATCCCTTTGAGCGTCATCAAACCCAAAGGCGACATGAAAGTCAGGATTAACCGACGGAAAGGGTACGAAGATGTCTCGTGGCGTCTGGTGGCTGATGGTTTCCACTGATGGACCTGTAATTACCTTTGCTGGTGAAGTTTTGAAGTAGAGCCATACGACCCGAGCGACTGCTCATATTTTCATCTTTATGACATCTGAGTGCATGGCAACAGTCAGCATCGCCATCCTCCTGTCGGTGCCTCTACTGATATCTCGGATGATTGTTTTTCCTTTCCGAGCACAAGTGGAGACGCGACACGTTGCTTCCCCTTTTCGGTTCCGTCAACACCGAAAAATGCGTATAAAATTCAACGACTCACCACATTTCTCGCCTGATCCTGTAAGCCCCCAGCAACAAGTATGGCGATCTCGAGCAAGGTTTCCAGTAAATGCACAGTTTTTACCGTGAGCTATCAGGTCTCACTGCTGCGAGCGTGATCCACGAAGAGTCTATTGACCGGGAAGCTCGGGATGACCCTCTGTTTCGTCAATCGTCTGCTCCTTGTCATGTTTTGATTGAGACTTTGTTGTCTTTTTTTTATTTTAGTCTGCTTTGAGCATCTTTGCGGCCATCAACATATCAAGACACTGCAGGTCCGTGTTGATCCTTGTCAGCATAAAGGGGGACACCGGCGTTTGAGCGAGCGACTTTTCGGTATAGCGAACCTGTGTCAGCAATAATACAAAAAATCACTTCCCCACAAAACGAGACGCGAGCATTCATTTCTCGAACAAGTCCTCAAACACCTCCTCCTTCTCCTGGCCGACCCGAACATGATCCGGATCAGGCATGCTGTTCTCTGCCTGGTTTTCGCGACCTTTGTTACTCTGGGCCTCTACTATGGGTCGGCGAGTGGCTCCATCACCGTCAAGTCTTTACAGTCCAAAGTCCCGCAGATTGTTGGACTTGGAGAATATTTTGACTCGGATACATCGGATGTCCAGAACCAGAGTCAACTGTCTTCCACCCCTGGAGATGACTCCGCGGCCTCGAATGCTACAACCGGGTCGTTAGCGACCACGGCCCCTACAGGTGGTTCTTCGGGATCGAGATATACACGAAATCTGGTCATGGCTCGACTGAAGGAGGAAAGCGTTACGTGGCTTGACGGCGTCGACCTCGGTGCCGACATCAAAAAGTTCATCTACATCGCCGATGACCCCAATGCGCCCTTGCATCCACCCAAGAACAAGGGTCATGAAGTCATGACTTATCTCACCTACATTATCGACTTTTATGACGAACTGCCCGATGTCAGCATCTTCATGCATGCCCACCAAGACGCATGGCACAACAACGAACTGCTGAACTGGGACGCCGCCGAAATGATCAAACGGCTGAGTAGCGAGAGAGTCCTGCGTCAAGGCTACATGAACATGAGATGCCATTGGAAGCCCGGATGCCCGGACTGGATCCATCCAGGCCAGATACAGAGGGACAAGGACAAACTGGAACAATCATACATGGCGTCAACCTGGGCAGAGTTGTTCGTAGACAAGCCTATCCCTGCGGTCCTGGCTCAGCCGTGTTGCTCCCAGTTTGCGGTGAGTCGCAATCAGATAAGGTTGACACCGAGGGAGACATACCGACACTACCGAGACTGGCTGCTGCGCTCAGAAATATCGGACGTCACCAGCGGTAGAATCTTTGAGTATATCTGGCAGGTCATCTTCGCGAATGAGAGCGTGTTCTGCCCGAGCCAACGGGCATGCTACTGTGATGGATACGGTGTCTGCTTCGAGACCGACAAGACATTTGACAAGTGGTTCGAACTGAGGTACGAGAGGCAGATGGCCGAGAAGGAGCTGCGTGAGTGGGAAGAAAAAGCCGAAGCGATCGAAAAGTTCCGGGACAAGGATGGCAGACTGCCTGGCATCGAAGCCGGGGAGCTTCAGGTGCCAGAGATTGGACGGAAAGAACAACTTGAGGCCGCGATTGAGGAGAAGAAGGCGGAGCTGGAACGGAGGAGATTGGAAGCCTTGGAGAGAGGGAGGGACCCAAGGATCAGAGCAGAGAGTGACGGACGGCCCTGGAAAGAGGGAGATGGGTTCTAGAGGTCTATCGGCTCAAGGCGGATTGGCGGGACCAAGACGAGCACCAGACCAGTGCCACCGACCCATTCGAGGCTACAAACGAGGTACACATAAAGAGATGGAGTGACAGGCTCTACAGGCAAGACACAACGACAGGAACCAGCCCTTGGTTATGTCGTCCCCAGTGGCGAGGTTTTCCTGGCAACCGATGTCCGGCATGGACGACCCAGCGAGATTCGAGGTATTGTCGGCAACATGCTTCGCGTCGCCCCAAATGTGATGAGCACTTTTGTCTCTAACTTCTCGACGTGATGATCAAGGTTGTGGCAATTGCAAGTACCACGGACGAGCGGTGAGCGCTATTGATGAAACTTGCCCAAAGATTAGAGCCGTGGAGTCAAGATGTTCTAGGAGAGACGGCCTCCGTCGACACCAATGACGGCAGAAGAAATATACGCCGACGCATCGCAGAGGAGGAAGGCGACTGTTTCAGCGACTTCCAATGCCGTGCCCTTTCGTCCCAGGGGAATCAATTCGGCCAGTGTTTCTTCCGAGTCTGTGGTCGGAGACATGGGGGTTTCGATCTTGCCTCTAATAAAAACCATGGAATCAATCTCGATGTCAGGGCCGGAAAGAGAAAAGACATTTGAGCGGGAGAAAGGGGGGGGGGGGGGAGATGTGTCGGCGTTCAAACTCACGGTGCCACGGCATTGACGCGAATGTTCCTGGGCCCCAGTTCCCTCGCTGCGCACCTGGTGATGCCGTTGATGGCGTGCTTGGACGCATTGTAGGCGTACTGGCGTGGCCAACCCCGACTCCCCCAGAGGCTGGACATGTTGACGATGGAGCCACCGCGCTCGTTCATGTTGGGCACCTGGGCGCGCAGACAGTGCATGAGGCCCTTGACGTTAACGTCAAAGACCAACGCCCAGTCAGCGTCGTCGACGTCCGCAATGCCGGCGACTCCCGTGTCGGCCCCGGCCACGCCGGCAATGTTGGCCGCGCCGTCCAGCTTGCCGAACGTCTCGACTGTGCGACGGACCCACGCCTCGACCGATTTCCGTTCCCGCACGTCCACGCAGGTGCCCATGACGGTGCCGCCATTCTGCGCGATCAGGTCGACCGTCTTGTCCAGGAGTGACGACTGTACGTCGCAGATGGAGACCTTTGCTCCGCGAGCGGCGACCTGGATGGCGGTTTCGCGCCCTATGCCGGATGCGGCTCCAGAGATGACAATGACTTTACCTGTCAGACCAGTCGACGACATTCCTGACATTCTTGGTACGAGTAGAGAGGAGTTAGGGGTAGGAGTGTTTTCCTTACCACCATGAGGTAGGGCATCTTCGTTTGAGGCACTATGATATACCTCGTACACTCTACTCTTTTCTCGACCATCTGCGAGGGGGAAAGGAAAGGAGAGGAAGAGGAGGCTTGGAATCCCATCCGAGTTCGAATTCGAGTTCCACTTCGGTCCGTATAATAAATACCCTTGTGGGCCTCTTTTCTCCCATTTTTCACTTTTCGGCGCAACCTCCGAACATATTCATACCTAGAACCTACTTGGCACCTGGCACCTTGCCCCCGGGGCACCTTAGCACCTGGCTCCTGGCTAGGTGGCTAGCTAGCCAGCTAGTCAGTCGGTACCCGGCAAATTCGGCATCTCTGGCACTTTTGACACTTTTTGCTTTGGGGTGCCGTGGGCCTGCGTGGGTAATACTCGGGGGACGTTGTCTCCAACTGCCACCTACCTAGCGCCCCAAGCACCTAAACCATGCGCAGACCATGTGCAAGGGCATGTGCATGGGTAACCGAGAAACTTTAACCTGACGTGCCTGCGTGCCCGCGTGCCTGATCTCCCGAGGGAAAGAGAGAGAGAGAGACTTTTGGTATGTCCGTTGGTACGTAGCATGCATGATATACGAGATTAATTTGCATGCAATGCAAAGATGAAGGTGAAAACAGGCGGTTTGTCGCACACAGTCCAGCCTCACGGGACCTGGCACCGCTGGGACTTGGGACTTGAGAGACCAACCGACCGACAACTTGAATCAAATTTCGTCAACCATACACGGTAGATGGATAGATGGATAGATGGATAGACAAATACGGCCAAACTTCGTGTGCTGCAGCGCTCGCACGTAACCCTCCTTTTCTCTTCGACTTAACTAACCAGACGGTCTCACTATCTAGTCATGATGCCTCTCCGTGATCCATCATTGGCAAAGGGCCCCGGTGTTTCGATGGATACATACACTCCCCCTTCTCTTTCCTTCTGCGTACCAGGTTCTTCCCAGTACCAACACCGAGACTATACTCGACTCAACCCGACCCGACCCGACCCGACCTACAGGGTATACCTATAAAACGGGCTCTTGTCGCCCATCTTCAACAGCTCGTCGTCGGTGTACCGGGCGCGAATCTCCTCCTCGCTCATCCTGTCGCGCTCCGCGTTGATGCGCTTGTACGAGAACCTCAGGATCAGACACGCCACCACGGCCAGGCAGTCGATGCCCATGATCACGCCGTACCCGGTCCAGTAGTGTGGCGCTTGGTTGGACAGGAAGATGTTGGACCCGACGATGCCGCCCATGTTGCCGATCGAGAGGAGCAGGGCCATGCCGACGGCCCGTTTGGACGAGGGGGCTAGGTTGTTCGCTTTACGGGAAAAAAAAAGGTCAGTCAAAATCTTGCCATGACATCTCTCTCCTTTCCTTTCGTGGCTAAGTGACGCCATCGGGGGAAAGGAAGGGGGCATGAAAATAGCAATCGAGGTGACAGATCAGATTAAAAAAAAAACATACCAACAAAGCACATGACGGGAATCGTGAGCATGTAAAGGCCGCTTGCCGCGATAAACAATATCCCATAGGTCAGGCCCGGTAGCCCAGGGTGAGGTACTGCCAACAGACAGATTGTGCCGATGATTGCGACCACCAGGCCAAGGATGATGAATGGCGATCTCTGTTTGTAGCGGTCTGATATCACCGCATTCAACACCGTGGCAATCATGGCCACGACGTAGATTGGGACCGTCAAAAGTTGCTAAATGTTGCAAACACCAGTGGTATAAGCTTCCGAAATCCACAAGACTCGGGGAGTCCGGAGGGCGTGTTACTTACCGCATTGGCAGCCGTGTAGCCGAGTCCGAGAATGACGGTAGGAATCGCATAAGTGAACCCATAGCCTCCAATGGCGTTGCCCCAGAATATCAGCTACCGTCGCGAGGAATTAGTCAAAGAACCATGGACCCCTGAAAAGGTTGCATCGCCCACGTACCACAGCCAGCCAGATTTTCCATTCGCGCAGGCCCGCAAAGATGTGTTCCTTGGTAATTTTGTCGTCGTTTGTGATTCTTCCTCTCCCCGAGCCTGTCTCAACTTGAAGTCTGGCAATGACGAATTCGCGTTCATCCGGAGTCAAGAAACTTGCGGTACCGGGCCGATCTGGCAAGATCCTCCACATGAAGAAAGCCAGGGAAGAGGTGAAGATGCCTTCAATGATGAAGATCCTACATCTCTAGTCAGCATCAGGCCACTCGATCGAACCAGGGGGGAGGAAGCACCATCGCCAGCCTTCCAGCCCTGAAATGCCGTCCATTTTCTGTATCGCATACGCCAGGAGTCCTGAAAAGGCACCTCCCATGGTGGCCCCAGCGTAAAAGAAGACCATCCTCGTCTGGACCTCGTATCGGCGGTACCAGATTGTCAAGAGAAACGTTGCTGGAGGGTGTCAGGAATCGAGAGCCAATTGCTGTAGAAACCGACAACCTTACCAGCGGGAAAGAAACCGGCCTGCCTCAAATGTCAGTCGTTGGCTCCCACGGTAGATAGAGGGCCACTGGCGAGATCTTACCTCTGCCGTTCCGAGGAACCATCTAGCAGCCAAAAGTCCAGAGTACGACTGGACAAGACCGGTCAGAGTTCTGGAGCGCAATCAGCCAATCTATTGTCGACCAAGCTTGTCACGAGAGTGCCGCCGTACACAATCAATCCCCACTAGAAAGCAATTAGTACAAGTCAATATCAGGGGGAAAAATTGCAAACCGACCACAAACAGAAGGATGCTGATGTAGTAGGAAGGGCGAGTCATCTTCAGAATGATGTTGCTCGGCACTTCCAGTAAGGAGTAGGGAATGAACATGATGGTCAACGCCACGTTGTACTGCATGCCATGAAGCTTCAGATCCTTCTCCAATCCAGCAACTCTGGCGTTTCCGACTGCCACACTTGTTAGTGCTGGAAGGTCAACGTCAAGAGACTGGGGTAATTCTCGTACTATTTGCGCGGTCGATGAAAGAGACCAGATAGAGAAAAGCAAGGACAGGAACGAGTCTGACGTCGATTTTTCGCAGGATCTTCTTTTCCTCCTCTGGGGTCTTTTGTTGAGCGGCAGCAACGGCAGCATCCTCCTTGGTGTGGCCGGTATCTTCCACGGCAACGAGCTCGTGGGCGATGGCTTTGTCATCGCTGCTGGCGTCGTGGCTCAGTTGAGAATGAGTGGCAGCCATTGCTTTGCTCCCAGCTATCTGGCTACTGTGGATTGATCGAGTAGAGTCAGATGGTCAGATAGTCAATAGATCACCCGGCCTGTAAGAGTTCTGGAATCCTGGTGGACGGTCTAGTTGCCATGTAGCCTGCTTTTTGTGCTCGTTCGCACGATCCCAACCGCGCAACGTTCAAAGGGGCACCTGATTAGACCATTTTGCTCTGATTGTGTCTTTCGGCGATGGTCCGACGGCGCTTGGTCACCGATTTTTGCTCCGACGGCGGTAGACCGAAACTCTTTCCCAAACCTTCAGACTGGAGGTTGGCGCCGTGATGCCAAGTATGGGGGAGAACCCCGGGGCCAGGCATCTTGAGAGGCTTCTAGACCAGCTGGACGGGTCGTGGTCTGTCGGAGAGTAGGTCTTTCGCATGGTGGCGTGGACGTGAAGGAGTGGTTAGAGGAGTCGACCGAGGCACAGAGGCTCTACGGGTGAGAATGCTCAGTCTCGGACGTTGCGATGATTGAGGTTTGCCACTAACAAGACCAGACGGAAGAAGTGGACTTGGTGACCTGACAAGCCTGATAAAATTGGCCTGATGCTTCCCCGCAGCGCCAAGGTCCGGGGTCGGCGTCGCCTGCGTCTCTGCGTCGCTGCGTGGCCATGTGGATGTGGATGGGCAGGATGGCCTCTCGCTTCTGATGTTTACCATATCCCTGTTCAGCCCTGGCTGACGCTGGCGCCCCAGTCAGAAACCTCGAAAACAAATCTTCAACATGAGTCCCCCAAGCGATACGAATGCGCACTTTGGCGTCCTCACACAAGCCTGTGATCGATGCCATACTCGCAAAACACGCTGCGATCGAAGTACACCACGTTGCTCCCACTGCGAACGCGCTGATGTTCCATGTGTCTTCTCGGATAAGTCGAGAAAACGAAACTATTCAAGAGGATTTGTGGACGACATGCAGTCTCACATTGGTGATTTGGAGAGAAGGAATGTCGAGCTGACGCGAAAGCTAGCAAGGCTAGGAGAGCCTGATCGAGGGCGCCAGGGTCAAGGTCAGAGTCAGGGCTCTTTCAACGACACTTCTACGAACCAGGTAGTTGAAACAAGTCCGCAACCCGCAGGCTCCCAGACTACGGGTTGTACCACGTCAAGCGCACCTCTGACGAGTCCTCCTCTTATCCGCGAGGAGGACGGGATTTCTGGAGTCATGGACTACCTGACTCTGAGGGCAACAGGGGAGACTCACTACCTCGGACCCAGTGGTGGTGGTGAGCTTGCGAAAATGGTCGGCACGGTGATAGACTCGGCATCCCTACGACCGCAGCTGTCATGGACTCAACCTTCCTCATCATGCTCCGAGATTGATCTCACAGAGGAGATTTCTTATCCGTCGACAGAGCCTCATAGCGAGAATCCTCTCCCTGACCGGAGTACTGCCGCGAAGATCATCTCGATATACTTTGCGCACAACCACCTCACCTTTCCCCTTCTGCACGGCCCTACTTTCCTCGATACTGTCAACAAGATGTATATGGATCCTACTTATTACCAGAACCACCCATTTGAGGCTTTCACGTTTGATATGGTGATTGCACTGGCAACAGCAAACGCCAACCATTTTGAATGCTGCTCAGCTGGTGCTGATAAATACTACAGCCGTGCCATGGAGAAGCTAAGTATTGTTCTTCAGATGAGCGGTTTGGCTCCCGTACAGGCCATAGTCTTCGTGGCGCAGTATGGGGTCATGTGTCACCTAAAGCGAAATGTTACGAGCATGTGGCATGTTGTCGGGATCGGGGCTCGATTCTGTCTTGAGATGGGACTGCACAGAGAGTCTCGACACGGACGAACATTTGATCCCGTGGCGCCACAGTCAGCTTTTGACTTGGAAATGCGACGGAGGTGCTTCTGGTGCTTCTACAACCTGGACAGGTGAGTGACAAATCCCTTGATTCCTGCTTGCCGGACGTACCTCCTCACGCCAATGGCTTAGAATCGTCAGTATAACACTTGGTCGTCCAGTCTCGATAGATGACGATGTCATCGATGTGCCGCTGCCGTCACATATCTTGGACGAGGACTATTTTGGACCCAATGGCTTGGAATCCGGGCGAGCAATCCACGGAACCAGCAGGAAGCCTCTCACATCACCCTTTCTCCATCTTGTCCGGATCCGCAAGCTTCTGGGGGCAATATCAGGCGCGTTGATGTCAGCAAAGAATGCCGCTCGAAGCATCGAGGAAAAACTTCAGATACGCAGCAATCTCCATCAAGAACTCGTCCGCTGGAGGGAAGACATACCAAGCTCCGAGATGTTGGGCGAAATGTGTACCAGCCGCAGCCCAGTGTCCAGGTTTCTCACCAATGACTGGTACCACGTACTTTACCATAACGCAATTTTGATACTCCATGGACCGTCTCCAATGTTCCCTGGTGATCTTGGGTCCTCTGACGCACCGGGCGAGAATACCTTGCTCTTACTGCGATCGGCCAAGGCGGTGATCAACCTCAACTCCAAGCTACATCGGCACCGCCAGCTGGACTATTCGTGGATCACCTTGAAAGCCATATTCCTGGGTGGCATCACCTATATCTATGCGATTGGTGCTTTGCTCAAGAAATGGAAAGCCAGTCTTCAGAAACGTTCCGTATCTCACAAGGACGTGACTTTTGTTCCGGCGACCGTAGACATCATTGCCGATGTTCGCGCTTGCTCCAATATCCTTCTAGCAGTTTCAGAAAGGAGGCCAGCGGCCAGGACGTTCTGCGAAGTCTTTGAACGGTTAAGCAATGCTGTGATTGGCGACAGCATCACATTGATGTTGGAGGCTCAGCGCCACGCAACAGCGGCCCCCGCGGCGCATTTGGCCCAGCCTATGGTAAGTCATTGTCCATATACGTTCCCTCATCCTACCCAGTCAGGAATGCTGACTTGGACATGCAATCGCATCAGGAACATCATGTCTCCACCTTCCAGCCATCGCTCTGTGGTCAATCATTTGAATCGGACGGCGCAGATGATATGGGTGGAAGCAATGCCCCGGTGGCATCCATATCGAGCCCGACGGGGGTTGGGTATGCGGATGCGCCCGATTTTCGATGTAACTACGAGGGTCTCGAGACGACGCTGCAGGATCCATCTTTGATGTTCCAGTTCAACAACGAGGCGTGCCCGGAATTCTGGATAGACTGGTTCACGGAATCGAACGGGCAGCTCGACGAACAACTCTTGTTCAACGGTCCAGACTTTCAGGCGCTGCAGGAACTCATATAATTGTAACTAATGTATCTAAAACTCGTTGTATATTTGCCCCAGATAGCCTTTGCAGTGCCATCGAACGTACAGGATGGTTCCCGATTCACTCTCGGTGATGAACAGCGTCTTGAAATCGTCGCCTCCCCAGGTCAGGTTGGTCGTCGCCGTGCCCAGGTTGCTCCTGATCGTGGCCAGTGGCTCGCCGTTTGGCTTGTGCACGAAAATGGTGCCCAGACTGACGTGCGCGACAAACACGTTGCCTTCAGAGTCCATGGTCATGCCGTCGGGGCCGCCGAGGCCGTAGTAGGAAGAAAATCGGACCGTGCGCTGGATGCTGCCGTCGGGGTAGATTGGCAAAGCCCATATCGCGTTGTCGCGGGTCATGGCGACGAAGAGAGTCTTCTCGTCGCGACTCAGGACCAGGCCGTTGGGTGAGATGCCGTTGCGCAACAGCAGGTCCAACCGTCCGTCCATGTGCCAGCGAAAGACCCTGCCCGTTGGATCCTGTAGGCCGGTCTGGCCTTGATCGGTGAAGAAGACGCTCCCGTCGTGGCCGACAACGAGGTCGTTGCACCCCTTGAAGGGTTCCCCGTTGAAAGAAGGCAGTGGGAACTGCACTTTGTCTTCGTCTCGCTGGGCCTGCAGATCCAGGGTCACGATTCCCCGGTGCCGGTCCGCGATCAGGATGAGTTTCTTGCCAGGGTGCCACGCCATGCCATTTGGCTCGCCGTCATACTCGACCACGCAGCGCCATTGTAAAGTCTTCAACTCGACCGCGAGAATGCGACCGTTGGGTATGTCGACCACAAACAACTCGTTCGTGCCCGGGACAATGATCGGACCCTCGATGAAGACATCGACGACCTTCCCGCCATAGATCAGCTGTGAGTGGGGTTTGCGCTTCAGCTCACGAAGATGTGCAGGAACGGCCGTGTAGGTAGCCGGGTCGATGGTTTGGATCTGTGTGGGTGGTGGGAAAGACGCCATTGTGATGTTTCGCAACCACCGAGGAGGATTCGTTCGCCACAGGTCACCTCCCTCTGGACATTGGCGAGGTTGACAGTCAAGCCGAGTCGAATTAGAGACTTAATATTCCCATCCAGAAAATAGCCGGGAACCTGCACCGAAGAGGAGCAGGATATTCCTCTCCCCACCTGCATACAATATGCGGCCGGCATCTGATCCTTGCCCTTCGGCGGCGATCCGCCGGTCTGGAGAACGATATGAGCCATGGTTCACCACCTCACTTGGCGCCTTGCAACGCCATCACTGATGGAGGTCGAGGCCACGGAGCACCTCCTCGACTTCCTCGGCGCCGCGCCCGAAGCGGGAAATCAAAGCCTCTTGAAGAGCGGACTCGAGGACTCGATCACCCCCCATCTTAACGCGTACTCAAAGAATGCAGGCAGCATCTCAGTATCGAAGGGGATAGGCTGCACTGAGAAGCTCGGAGGTACATATCGAGCATGTCTCGGAGGCATCAAATCACTCAACTTAAGGTGAGCCTTGGTGCGAGATCGGCCATGGATGGAAGTATTTAGTCGTTGGTTCTGCTTCTTTCTGCTGTTAGCCCTTTGATCACTTGCGTCTGCGGGTGTCGATTCGACCAAACGTTTGTCTCTGTCAAAGAAGACGCCAGAGGAATTTTGCTGCCTCTTCTGTCTCACCCAAGTCCTCCGCCCAACCATGCCTGCCGCCCACACCAACGGGTACAAGAGACCCATCATCATTGGTAACGTTGCAGGAGGATTTGAGGATGCTCCAAATGCCTTGTAAGTCGCCTCTTGAAGGAGCATGTGAAGGGTGATTTGTGATCGAGGATCATAACGTCAAAAAAACAGGTACCGGACCGCGACCGAAGGCCATGTGGATGCCCTCACGGGAGACTGGCTCGCCGAATTGAACATCGCCTGGCAGGCCATTGTCAAACATGACAACCCCAAGCTGGGCTACGAGCCCGGGTTCCTCGATCAACTGGACGTGGCCATCGATGTCATCGCGGAGAAGAAAATAAAGGTCATCACCACTGCCGGTGCCCTCAATACGGCCGAATGTGCTCGACAAGCAAAGAAGATCTGTGAGAAACACGGTCACAAAAACCTGGTTGTGGCTTATGTCGAGGGCGACGATATTTCCGACATCGTCACCGACGAAGCCAAACTGGCGGAATTTGGGGGAATTCGACATCTCGACCATGTCAATGAAACCCTCGCCGACTGGGAACGCAAGCCTCATTGCGGAGTGGCTTATTTCGGTGCATGGGGTATTTGCGAAGCATTGAGGCAGGGCGCCGACATTGTCATCTGCGGCAGGGTCACTGATGCCAGTCCCGTCATCGGGCTCGCGGCCTGGTGGCATAACTGGGCCAAAGACGACTGGGATGCCCTTGCTGGGGCATTAGTCGCTGGTCGTGAGTCTCTTCTACATCCCACGACCGAGATATCTATTCGTGGGGAGTCTTCCTTGCTAACACTTCTATCTACCAGACCTAATCGAGTGCGGTTGTTATGCCACTGGTGCCAACTTCAGTGGATTTAAGCACTACTTGACTCCCGACTTTGTCGATCTCGGCTTCCCTCTCGCAGAAATAGCCCACGACGGTACCGCTACCATCACCAAGCACCCAGGAGCCGCTGGTTTCGTGGACCAGTTCAACGTTCGCGCCCAACTGGTCTACGAGATCCAGGGCAATACGTACCTCAACACCGATGTCTGTGCCGACATCACCAACGTTGAAATCCGGAACGAGCCGGGGAAGAAGGATCGGGTGTTGGTCAGTGGTGCGAAAGGCTCGCCGCCCCCACCGACGACAAAAGCCATCGTTGCAGCCATAGGCGGGTGGCTGGCAGAGGCCACCTTCTACATGAACGGACTGGACATCGATGCCAAAGAGAAGTTCATGCGTCAGCAGCTCAACCACGCTTTCAGGGATGCCAACTTTCTGCAGCTCAGTGTTGAGAGGTATGGAACGGCCAAACGAAACCCGTCAAAGCAAGCTGAAGGGACCGTCATGGTCCGCGTCCTTGCGCAAGCTCGCAACAAGGAAGACATCGACGTGAAGATTTTCAAAACTCGCGTGTATGCTTTGCGAATGCAATTCTATCCTGGTATGTTATTGGGTCTACCCCTACGGGTGGGATATCAGCCAGTTGACAAGATCACACAGGATACCATATGTCGCTGGACTTCAGAACAATGTCTCCAAGAATGTTTATGGAGCTCTTCCCAGGCTTGATCTCGGTCACGTCGTTGCCTCACCGTGTCGTGTTCCTGGACCCCCACCTGGTCATAGATATCCCACATCCGAAGATCACTCAAGAGCCACCTCTAACGCGGCCGTCGGCCGACACAATCAACCCGGTGCCCCTGGAGCAATTTGGTCCCACGAGGCTCGCGCCCCTAGGGGCTGTCATGCACGGCCGCAGCGGCGACAAGGGTGACAACAGCAACGTGGGGCTGTTTGTCCGTTCTGCCGAAGAGTTCGAATGGCTGCGGTCCTTTATGACCACGGCCCGGTTTGCGGAGGCTCTGGGTGATGACCTGACCCCCAAGAGCCGTCTGGAAAGATGCGAGTTCCCGCGCATCTGGGCCGTGCATTTCAGGATACTCGACTTCCTGGGCGGCGGAGGCGCGAGCACCACCAGGATTGATAGCCTGGGCAAGGGGATTGCGGAATACGTGCGCAGTCGAGAGATGCAAATCCCGGAGAAGTTTTTGAAGAATCCAATCTCGGAATATTGATTGGGTGGTTGACCTGAATCGGCGGTCTTTTCGATTGAGGTAGAGCCCTATCGCAATCTCAGGCTGGAACCATAGCAGGACACAACAGCTGGTTGTGGCAATATAGATTTGGACCGTATGTAGTTCGGGTATTGTGCTGGCTGTTTGCCGCATATTCAATTGAATTCGAAATTGAGGTATCGGTCGGTATAGCGAGAAATCGATGAGTAACCTCGCGTTCAGAATTCCCGAGGTACCCGCATCGCTTCACAGGTCCCAAAATTTCCTATTCATTCGGTACCTAGGTAAGTATCTCTGCAGGTAGGTATGTTGTCTTGTGAAGGGAGCACCGAAAGAGGCACTCGTATCTTGTATTGGGAACGCTCACACGTGACCATATTCCTTTCTCGTCGGCCTTACCGACTTACGAGGCTGGCTTCGGCCGACCTGCCCCGATCACTTCTTCAACGGTCGCCTGCGTGCCTGCTTCAAAGGCCGAATCGTCATTCTCGATAATGAAGCGAAGTGACTCAACGCCAGAAGTTGGGGGGAAGGGGGGAAATTGGGATTCAGGTGTAGATAGATTGTCAGAATAGCTACTTGTAAATGAATATCCAACTCTAGATTGTGTTTAGCAGAGGAACACTGGTATTTGGGAGTGAAGATCCTATCACGTGAGCCCGTCCATTGCACCGAAATGTGAGGGCAGAGAGTCCTGGCGATTCGGGGTGCGGAGGAACTTCAAAGAGGAAGCAATCAGGAAATTGAACACCTCTCGTCTTTTCCTACTTGTTATACGCAAACACACTCACGCCACTGCGTCTCTTCATGCCCTTCTTTCCTCATGTTTTGTGTCTCTCCCCATCCATGACTGCCTTTTCAGTGCATACCTAACTTGTGCAATTCGCGTCTGCAACCTTCCCTGCTCGGCGTGGTGGTGGTGGCTCGCATCGACGACTAAATGATGGCTTCAACGTACCCACCGCCATCCACCCACACCTGAAGAACCACCAGTGTCTTCTACGTACGGCTTGAGAAGAAAGATGCCGGTGAGAATGAGAATGAGATGGACGGCGTATGCTGGGGTACGTATTCGCGCACTTGTGAATCCATTTCCGTCTTGCGCAGCAGCAGTCACTGACTCTCCTTTCTCTTACAGGCGTCGACCGC